GCGAACCAACACGATAGGAACCAAGTGTTCAAGAAATATGCAGGAAGAAATGGAGGCAGATTGTGGCCATACTCTGAGAAAACCATCAAGTGACATGACACACCATTCCATGGCTCGAGTGGAACCCGAACGGGAAGCGGTGAGTAGGTCGTCAGTGAGAGAGTGGGGTGTTATGGAGGAGGTCATGTGAAGAAGAGATGAAAACATGTTGGCAGCCGTGGAGCCAGGTGAAAACGTTGTCAGAGAACTGAACGCAATGGAGACGTGCAGCTGAAACCCTATGCTCCTCTAGGAACTAAAGAAAACAACAACAACAATAATAATAAATAATAACGGACAGATAAACAAATTCAAGGTAACACATTTCGCTACCGTACAGAAGGCATTAAAGTATTATCTAACACCAAGTTAATGAGAAAATTGGAAACTATATGTAAGGCCTGAAAGTTTGTTCGTTTGAAAACACAATTGTTGTTAGCTGAAATTATTCCCGTTTGGAAAGTAGAAATTACGTGTTTTCAAAAAACCCAAAAAAAAAATCACCAAATGAAGTTTAACAAAGCAACAACTAAATTACTGAGAACACCTGACTACTTGATTGTCAGACCATGATGGAAAGAAAGGTTAAAAATGATAATAACTAGATAAAATGTTAGGTAGTATAGTCACTGAAAACCTTCACATTAGTGACTATGAAAAAGACAAAAAAGGGAAACAGATTTTCGCTTTAAAAACCTATACACATTCCCATTGATTCCACAAATACATCAGTAAAAAAATGCGGCACATGCAATGAGCAGTTGAAAAGAGACAGTAAGATACTTTTATCATTATTATTATTATTATTGTCTACTTTTGAAAATCAAATGATGAAGAAGTTAGGAGCTAGAAGTGGATGAAAAGTAATAAATGCTATGCGCTAATAAAAATTTGATAAAGCTAAAATAGTATCCTGATTATATTCACAATATAGAGGCATACTAGTTATCCTTACTTACGCATTGTTTCTATCTAACCGAATAGATTTTATGTTAGACAGTTTATAAGAGAAAGAAGAAAGGCGGAATAAACACTCAATTAGCATGCATATAATAATAAACGGTAGACAAAGCATCATTATATATCACACACAAAAAAAGAAACTGTATAACAATGCTGGCTGGAGGTTATTGAAGCGAAAAATTGATTCACCAAATAATTGGGTGAAGTTTCATATATGATGGGGTATTCGCGAGGTTAGCGAATTTCAACTGTACGTGTTTGTTTTTAGTAGCATAAATAATGTACAGTGAAATGCAGAACAACCTATGCTGAGATTACCAGTAGTAGCATCCTAAGCGGAAAAGCGACTGAAGTGTCTGGGATGTATTTTTTTCTATGTTGCAAGTGGGATGACGATGCTCACAAGTTTAAGGCTAGTCATCAAACCATGACGTTTGAATCCCATTATGGGTAAAAACTTGTTTTGATAAATTCTCACAGTGTTATACAGCAATGTTTACTGATAACCACGTTTCGAGCACAATTTATTACCGCTCATAATCATATCAACGTACTCACAAAACTTCGTTTGGCCAAGTTAAACTTTAAACACCACTAACTACCAATCAACGAACAATGTCGAATTATCCAATGAGATTCCTGAACGTGACTTCAATGCTGTATAACGCTTGATTCGTTTCCAATGCGTGCCTTAACAAAGTTACGGTTACAATTCGAGGAGGATAATGCTTTCCAGTATTGCCTGGATTTGGGGTCGCTTAGGAAGGAGAGAATGTGTTCGTGTGGTGGTGTGATTAGTTTAAAAAGATTTAGCAGGTCGACTGATGGATATGTCCATCGTTGTGCAATTTATTGGACGCGAGTTAGCATTAGAGAATGAATGCTGATAATTTTAATATTTCTTAGTAACTTTTTTGCAAGGTCGCATCTCTCAACGCAAATTTTGTATATTTGCAACTACTAGATCTTAAAACAGCCGGTGAGATCCACAGCTGATGAAACTGAGAATAGCCTCGTCTCAACAATTCAATAGTATCAGCACTGCATAGACATTGCATCGTGGAAAATGAAGAAAATTACTTCTTTGTTGGATGGAGAGGGCATCAGTGTGCACGGCGACGAAACTGTGTTGCTGAAGAAAAAATACAACCGTGGTCGTTAGCGATCCTACAATATTTGGGTTATTGGTTTATACGACACCTCCCTCCAAAAAAAATTCGTCGAAAGAATAACAGATGGAAAGGCAACTACTATAATACCTAATATGGCCATACTTGTGAAACAGGGATCAATAGTACATACGGATGAATGCAAAAGTTACAACTCTCTGCCATCTCTTGGATATATTCATCATAGAGTGAACTATTCCAGTGATTTTGTCGATCTTAATACGAGGAAACACACAAATTCTATTGAAAGATTTTGGGGGAGGTTGAAAAATAGGATTAGAGCTTTAAATGGATCCCAAAAGGATCTCATTTATAGTCATTTGGCTGAATGTATGTACAAAACGTGGTGTGACTTCTCTATTGACAGTCCTTTGCTTAAATGCGAGATGTTTCCCTCATATGTTACAGAAAGATATCCTCTGTAACAGTTTCATGCTTTTTTCTATAAATACACGTTTTCCTTCATCAAACATCCCCCTTTCATGTGACTGGTCCGTTAAAAATCGTTTGCTGATTGATTGTTAGCGGTGCTGAAAGTTTAACTTTGCCCTTCGTTTATATAATTCTATTATTTTCCATTGCTTGGTTTGAGTGATGCGTCATTCCTATTGCATGTGTTGTGTGTAGACTCGATGAACCAGGCAGGATTCAGTAATCAACCTCTCTCTCCACCTACCTACATTACTTTTTAGAATTTTAACCCTCTCCCACCCTATTGTGTGGTTATGTGTTAATGCATGCAGTGCTATTGCTGAGCTTTTTTCTAAATTACTTAGCTTCTCGGAGTCAACCATTTTTACTTTAGCTAAATTCTTATGTTCCAACTATCTGACTAACCTTGACCCACTAGTTTGACCTATGTAGTTGACCTAACTCACAGTCATTGGAGGGTATTTTGTAAGTTATATTATTTTGTCTAATTGGGTCAACCGACAGGGTCCTTTAATGTACAGAGCTTGTTCTAATTGAGTGAGTTTGTAGGTTTAAATGCCACTCTAATTCCTGCTTTATTCAGAATCCTACGTAGGGTCTCAGATGTCCCCTCTTTATATAGTACAATAGTAGACGCCTTATATTCAGTCTTTTTTATGTTATCATCACTAATTTCACAATTATTTTTATCTCGTTTTTGGCCTTCACTGATCATCCTAATGAACTTTATAGGATAGTCATTTAACACTAACGCTTCATCTGTCTGTTTTATCTCGTCATTTAGGTTTTTTGTTGTACTACTTAGTGCGACTTTTTGGTTTGTTAGGCATTTAACTAAGCCTGTCTTTACAGACAACGAATGAGGTGATGAATTGAAGTCTAACTATCTATTAGAATGCGTTGGTTTTTTATACACACTAGTGTGTAGTTTACCTTCTTCTATCCGTTTTATTTTACAATCGAACATAGTTAATTCTCCTTGTTTATTTTTCAATTCAAAGGTGAATTTTATTCCCTTCACTAGTGAGTTTATATTTGTCAAGAAGCTGTGAAAGTGTCATCCACATATCTCTACCATGTTTTTGGAGTAGGATTAAATGAATTAAGAGCCATATTTTCCAAACTGTCCATAAATATATCCGCTACGATAGGGAATATTGGTGACCCATCCCATTGCTACATGTTCTATTTGTCTATATATTTTGCCTTGGAATTTAAAGATAGTAGATGTGAGGCATAAGTGAACTCCTAAAATAATTTCTCCAATAGATGTAGCTTCGCCCTATAAGTGAGTTCAGGATCTGCAGTTAGTTCTTTTTTAACTGCTTCTAAGGCCATAATGATTGGTTTGTTAGTATAAAGACTAGTTTTATCGAAACTAACCATTGTTTCATCATTCTCTAGTTGAATGTTATTTAGTTTATTTTTCATCTCATATGAATTAGTTAGTCTAGAGTTTGAACGATTTCCAATGGAGGGCATAATATTAGGGTTAAACGTTTTGATAATTCATAAGCAGAGGTATTCCTAAAGTCTACTATTGGTCGTATGGCGTTGTAAGTTCATTACTGAATCCTTGTTTATTGAGTCTACACCCAACACATGCAACTGGAATGACTCATTACTCATACCGGAAATATGGAAAATAATAGAATCATATCAACGAAGTTGTGATATGATTATGAGCAATAAATAAATTGGACTCGAAACGTGGTCATCAGTAAACACTACTGTATAACACTGTGAGACTTTATCAAAACAAATTTTACCCATAATGGAATTATACTCTACCACAGTGCACAATTTTTATTCTTGTACCATGACGTTTGAAATGTATGTGAGTAAAGTATGTCGACGCAATGGAGGTGTCGACTTGCTAAGAATTACAGACTGACGATCCTACAGTTTACATAATATAACTACAATCATCTTCGAACTTTTAAACAGTTTGACTAACTTTCAATTATGCATTTCTTTTCATTACATAATACATTTTTATACCTCCCACCTCAGTAACCATCAAAGTGTGACAACTTTAATTGCTCTATTCTACATAAATGATATACCCTGGTCAGTCTATCCGATTATGAACACTTCATAGTAATCAAATAGCATAACTTAATACGCTACTCTATTGCCTCACCATAACATATCTGTAGACTTTGTTTAGCTCCCACTACTTAAGGTGGTATTGCTTACAAACACGGATAACCTGTAAAAAAAGTGCCAACAGAAAGTGGGAATAAAAAAACACAATTAACCGAAGAATCCTCATAAGTGATTTCAGGTTAAGGTTTCAGTGTTTTGCAACACATAAGCCATAAAATACAGTTACAACCGAAAGGTACTGATGTGGAATGTTTGATTATTAAATAGGATAAACAAATCAACACTTACGTAGACTAACACAACGAATATGAACAGTTCCAATTATACAATTGCTTTGTAGACGCCAAACATGTAAATCATGAATTTTATGTATCCCATCAATCTAAATTTTAGAATAAAACAGGAAGAAAAAATGATTAGACAAAAACGTCTTTTGACAACTCTTTTTTCTGGCATCAGAAACCAATTGTGTATATGCATAATTAAAACAAACACAGGTGAAGATGGCTGTGAGACCTGGCTATTGAGAGTGGAAGACATGAAAAGACTGGCTAGCTGCCTGCGCTCTATCTCCCGTGTGAAGTGGTATAATAAGGTGAGCAATATTGAGGTTAGGCTTCAGTCGAGTGCTAGGTAACGAGGGGAAATCAATAGACGAGTCTGTGAAATTACATCGACTGAGATGGTTAAGCCATGTGTTACGCATTCCTGCCTAGTCATCGCCTTCCTCGACAACGGGTAATGTTAGCTGATATAGGGTCAGGCTGGAAAAGAACTAGCGGCGGTCAAACCAAAACATGGTCTCACCAGTCAATGAAATCCACAACAGTTAGTTTAAGGCAGCCAGTCACGTAGGAAGGTGTAGACTTCCTGACTGGTTGGGGTCCTCGGGACGGCAAAAACCCATGGTTGGAAACAATTGGTGATATGGCTCAAAATCTTTCTCAGTGGCTAGCGCAGATGCATCCACTCCTTGTGACTTATGATTTCCAATTAAACTATATTTTTCTTCGTTATCACTACTCCTTTGTCTCACACCTCTGTTTACTGTCATAAAGACAGTAAACAGCATTTCTTCTTTTTTCTTCTGTTCCTTTGTGTGCTACATGGAATGTGGCGACTGGAACTGCCGCACATCGATGCAAAGTTCTATGTCGAAAACAGACAGACAGACCACAGTACGTTTTAGATACTTTCACTAAATTCTGTTGGACATATAGTCGAGGGGGAAACAATTTAAGTGGATAGCGTCGGTGGCACAGTGGTTAGAACTCTCGCCAACCGTGCACAGCACATGGTCCGAGGTTCGATCCCCTGCCGACGCACACATGATATCTATGGTTGGACTGCAAAATTAAGGCTACCGATATCACATGCTGAAATTTCCATACTTGTACCAAAAATACGGTGTGGAATCAAGCTGCAATCAAAATAAAAAATAACTCTCCATACTCATTATGAATATATTTCGTAGTATCAACAACACAACTACTCTTTTGATGACTAGCTTGAAAATATATGACAACTGGAAGTGATTCACTATGGTTTTTCTTTTGATAAAATTCACAGTTCAAAAATTAGTGTTACGTAATGCGGTGAAGTACTTTTCAACAGGAATTCGAGCACACATACTCATGGTCAAGTGTGCAGAAGAGCATACAGGATGAAAAGATATCAGTTGTGATTAGTCTTACTTTAGAGATTGTTTTTCAATTCGCTTAATATGATGTTACTCCAATTATGATAATCATAGCCGCAATAAAATCAGTTAGAGCGCGTGTATTGTGTCCGTAAATATTTTGTTAAAGATCTTGATAGAAAATACATCAGTTCAACTGACACAATCATTCAATGAATAATCCTGAACATTACATTAAGTGTATTTACCCAAACTATCCAAATAGAAGGATAAGAGCAGCTCAAACAACAAGATCTAAGCGTTTGGAAATGTTCAATAGGGAGCTGATAAAATATTATATTTAGTTGATAGTGGTTGTGTAGTGGAGAAAACGAAAGCTTTCGTATCTCACCGAATCTTTAGCAATAGACTTCGTATTCGTCTACTGCACACGGTTGAGGCGATAGATAGGTATTAGAACTATTAAGCGTAAACTATGCATTCAAAACAAGTTCCATACAGCCATTATCCCTCTGTTGGCCTATTAAAACCTAAACAAATGTGATAGCGCCTCCACCACTCCTTTATTATATTGTTAACACCCCCTCTTATCATCCTTTAATCTTATCACATCTTCATTAAAACGTATTTTATTTACTTCCCTTACAATCAGTCTAGCATTACTTAATTAGTTCATTTGTTTTTTACTAGCCTTTATCGACTAGTACGCATAGCTGAACATTTGTTTGTTTAATCATGCTGTTTTGCGTTATTCTTGTTATCACAGATCGTCTTATGATTTCATCCTTGTTATTGATAGAACCATTATTATTATTATGACTAATTGCACAATTTATACGAACAATCTTATTATCCTATAGACAAAACACCATGATTGGTTTATATTTGAATTTTTATTTGTAAAGTTATGTACATTAGCGCTAAGCATGATGAGATCTAATTGAAAACAATATTGTTCGCTTAAATATGTTGTTCTAAAGTATTATACATTAAGTCTTTTTTATGATTACAAAGTGTACATCTTTTAAAAATTTCATTCTAATGAACCATTGATTCTCCACAAACCATAATGATATTTATTCAGTCACCAAAGCAGTCGGCTACGTAAATAACCGACCCATCAGGTGAATAATAATAACAACATATCACTGTATGTTATACCAAGCACACAAGCTAACAAGGTGTACAGATAATCATTAAAATTAACTACAGGTCTGTGTGACTGTGGTAGATCTACGATCTCTCAATTGTTTCTAATTCACTTAACATGTGTGTACATATTTCCCATCGTGCATGCATACATACATAAATATCGGCATCGCTCAAGTTTGTGGACGCAAAAAATGTTCGTATAACAAAATCTACTGCTCTGAATTATTGTTCTTCTCGCACACTATTCAAGCTTATACATACAAAACACTATGAAAGTCGATAATGATCTCGGAGAACATTAAACAATAACTCTAATCTTCATAATGTGTTGGGGAAGCTAAGGAAACAATACCATTAAAATTGCACGGAGAATTTCATCATGAGCTGACATCAGTTAGAGAACCACTGGAAAACCAGCTGGGAGTACTGGACAGCTGTTTCGTCAGCCTAGTTTGGGACTCTTCATCAGTACACACTCATCGCCAGGGTTAGAACCCAGGACCTTCTGGTTACCGCAATCAAACAAAAATCCCTACAAAACCAATACCACTAAAATTATAAAATGTACTATCAGTGACAAATGTTCTGAGATCTTATTCCCAATATCACACTAAAGATATTCTTCAAAAAGGTTCAATTATTTATTTATTTATAAGCATAAAATAAAGGATGATAAAAGTTGACAAAAAATACTTCCAGCTTTTTTTGTCATTTTATCTGTTGGATAGAGGTGTTTGCTCCATGGCAAAGCCTTAACATCTCATTTATTCAGTAGAATTAAATGTATATCAGACACTGGCCACGCCCCAAGGTTATATAACACTAAAATTGTATCTGAATAGCACATTTGTTTTAACTGATTTCCGACAACTAATTGATTTTTTGTTTTATAACATTACTGATATCGTTCCTAGTTTATTCTTTTCTTACACAAAGCCACTAACTATGCGCCCTTTTTTCATTCAATTGTTTCACCCTTAACAATAATAGTACGCATATGATAGAGAAGATTTGTAGCTCAGGTGGGTGATTTTGATGTGGTTGTGTTCTTTGAGCTGCGAAGCTTTCACCGCCCAACTGGGCAACATCTTTAGCGTATACTTCGATTTGAAGTAAGCTTTTAGATTCGAAGTGAGAGACCAACCTTGTGTACCTTTGGTAGACCATAAAGTCTTGGTATTATTGAACCTGTTGGCCGGATCTGGTCGTAGATATCCCCGGCCAACAGGTTCAATAATACCAAGGCTTTATGGTCTACCAAAGGTACACAAGGTTGGTCACCCACTTCGTCCAATTCTGTATATGTCAGGTTCCCCTTACCACTCTATTGCAAAATAGCTTTTAGATTCCTCCACAAGTTTATTAATCATCTCCCCTGGTTGGTGACCTTGGAGGTGATTGGTTGTTTTTGTGTGTTTTCCCACCTTCTAAGCCCACTTGTATTGGAACTGATTATTTCTTTGACTTGAACTTTGACCCTTTGTGTGTGTGTGTGTGTGTGAGTTTTCCTTCTTAACAGTTGATAAATTTTTGTCTATCTCGATGTGTCTATTGATCAACAGTCGCCCCTAGTTGGGGCGATGAAAGCTTCGCAAATTAACTATCCAGCTCAGAGAACACAACCACATCAATATAGTACGTATAAAATAATTGTCAAAAATGAAATGTTTGTAAAAAAAAAGAAATGAATAACAATATACGATTTGCAGATAATCTTACATTTTCCATGCGCGCTTTTAAATTCTTCAAACAAATCTCACTGGGAACGGATTGCAACAAAATTAATGTAGCTTTGTACACTGATTAGAAAAAAAAGGGGAGGTAAAGGAAGAAATTAATTAAGATCAAATCCTCAGTAGTATTACACGTGTTTCAGAAAAAAAACTGGTCACTACAAATAATCATCAAACAATGAAGTAAAAAAAAGAAAGGGTATATCCCAACATCCTTTTCAAATTAACACCAACAAAATTCAATGAAATAACACTAGTCAATCGAATAAAAAGTTAAGAAATGTCCTTTTTAAACTTAAATGTTTCTCACTCATTGCTTTAAAAAAAAGTTTAATAAACGAAATGATTCTGCAAGACTCTGAACAGTATTCGTCCTGAGTAGTCAGGTAACTTTACACTAATAATAATTAGCCAAACTATCTAACAGATCAGTCTAGCTAAGTTAGTCGTAAGAATGCCATATATTGAGCATATTATTATTATTATTATTTGCATAAATTATCAAACTTCAGTAAAAAGAAACACTAAAATTTTCAAATTAAGAGGTAAAATGGTATTAGGTATTAGAGCAGAGGTCCTACAGTTCAAACAGGTTCCACTAGGCTGTGTTCTGCCAAACATTTGGCTCAATAACTGTTTATTTGAAGTATTGCCTACGTATCCACTGGGTGTAGGTTGGAAGATAATGAAATTCTGCAGCTGGTAAGGTTGCTATAAAAAGCAGAACTCTGAAATATGGTCCCATTAGGTAGGCAGTTGGAGCTATAGAAAACAGTACTATCTTCAAGCATAAGGGGATACAACATTTCATCTGGCAACAATCGACATGAGGACACCAATGGACAAACATAGATCATTTGATTACAAATAATAGGTCTGGAGGATATGTGATGAATTCCGCTGGGACATGTGGCTCAAAATCAGTCATATGTTAGCTTATGCATACGTACACTTGCAACTGATTGGACATAAAAACACAAGCAGTTATGAGGCCATTACTAAGCATTCACTCGACGGAGACAATAATAATCAATCTGAAGAAACTTAGAAGTATGCTCGATCTTTTGCAGAAACAGAAGTGAAGACAACTGATGACATTTAATTAGAAGTTAGTAAAAAACCAATGGATATTTCTAGTCTCGTTGTTACTGGTAGATGCTAAGAGACTGTTTGCGAAAAGCTCCAAACATGACGAGGGGCAAAAGGTGCTTACATTTAAGTTTCCTTAACGATTGCGGGCAGTTCAGTAAGACAAAAATTGAGAGAAACGGCAAAAGAACCAACCTAGGTAGTTCCCGTTATGTGTTTTGGGTGAAGTAAATCAGCCAATACTCTAAGATGGAACTTGTACAGCTCACGAAATATACGCATTTATTCGTAAGGAAAACAACTCCAAAAAAGATTAATCATATGCTGAACAGAACGTCCAAAGAACGTGGCATTTTGACCGGCATTGCAGTTTCCCACCATCAAACTTCAACTTTAGTGGATAATGAATATCGATTTTCAACTAATTAAGGTACTAGTTAGTGAATAGCGATGTGAGATAGTTTTATCAGAGTAGAAGCGGTTGGCAATTATCCCAGTATATAAGAAATACAGTAAATCTGCGATAACTACAGGCTAGTCACTTCGATTAGTTTGATTCTTACTTATACAGAGTGATAGTGAAAAACGAACTCAATAAAAAGACGAATGAAAGTATACTCAGAAAACAAGGAAACACCAAATTTCACGGACACCATGAATATCTCTTAATTATTTTGCTAAGAAAGAAACATTGCAAAGGAATTTTTATCAACATATTCCCGAAATAACGGGAACTGACAAATACTTTATAAATAAAATATGAATTAAAATTTTGTTAACTTACTGAGGGGTATAGCAGTGATCAAGATTATGGTAACCATCAGTATGCTTAACGGATTGAAATGTTGAATTAAAAATACATGTATTATTATTAAGCTAAATAACAACACTGCTTATATGTCACATTACAACTAAAAATTCAGTACAATCACATTAAAACTCAACCATAGAAATCCTCGCTTTTTGATCGGATCATAATGACAGACAGTGCAACTACATACATATACTCATACAATAATAAGTGACTAAGCTATCACTTATGAACAGCATCATGAAGAAAAGTTTCCAGTTTATCGAATTATTCCTCGGAAACAAGGAGGAATTTTCATCTTAAAATCAGTGTAAAAAAGTAGCTAAGAGCTCTGGATTTGAGAAATAACCAGCAAAGTTAAACTTTAAGCACCACTAACTACCAATCAGTAATATTTACTGAGCAATAAATTGTACTCAAAACGTCATCAGTAAATATTACTGTGTATCATTGTGAGAATTTATCGAAACAAACTTTACCAACAATGGAATTATACTCTACCACAATGCACAAGTTCTATTTTTATATAAACAGAGTAATTTAACCATATTCTATGTGCGTAATTATTTAGGTCTTCTAACCCTAACAATAACCCTTATCTTTGCTGAACCTAACCCTAACGCGAAAATATCCCTAAACTAACTGTAATCCAACTCGAACTAAACTCAATGTCCCCTTTATTAGGTTAACCTAAACCTAACTTGTCCTGGGCTTAAAGAGTAACTTAATCTTTCTCAAACCTAAGCTGAAACTTGCCAGCTATCCCATGTAATAGCGTAACACTTCTATGAGCATGTTTTCTTGATGGTGACAACATTATTTGCCAGTTTCCAGTAATTTGCTCAGTGGGCATTGGTGCTGTCGCACTACATTGGTAGTTAGTGGTGCTTAAAGTTTAACTTCACCAAATAACCATTTGGTTTTTATCATTGATACTTTCTGCTTAAAATACTTTGCTGAAGTTAGAAGGTAAATCAATCATTACAGCAAAGTAAGACAACATCGCTAAGCAGTAGCCTCAAAATGTTTCACCGCATGGTATGTAAAACAGTAGATAAAACAGCTAATATCACCCGAACAGCTATCAGACACCAACCTCACTACCAAGACACTATTTTACGCGACGGCAACAAAGAAAACTGCTTGGCATGAAATAATTCTTCACAAGCTATTCGGTTAAGAGACGGATGAGCAGACTGGTAACATATATCTACGACAACTTCAAACTTGAACTATTGAATTTATTGATTTTTTAACACACCTTTAGACTGAATTTTATATGTTTCCTCAATGATCTTTTACTGTGTTTAATCATAAACTAACAATAAACCAAAAAAGACGTTTCCTCACTCCTTATATATATATATATATATATATATATATATATATACCCAAACTTGAATACAAAATGCGCCCTATATACCCAACCTAATAACTTAGCCATTCAAAAATATTTAACAACTTACCTCATAGCCGGATCAATGTACAGTTTCCAAACTGCTTCGCCCTTCGAAACTTCCCCAGGTACCAACCACAACACTAGTGCGCTAATTACAACAATAACAGAACCCATGAAATCAGCTAGCACGTGTAGAAATACAGCCTGCATATTCATTGAGCCTTTGTGAGCTAGATTTTTCAATTTAAAAGAGGCGTTAAAAATATTTAATTCGCATAACTCATCTAACAAAGCTAACGAAAGATGTGTTTTGGATAATTAAAGAACTGAAATACTATGGTCACAGAGCCTCACGATAAACTTCATTTCTGTAAAGAGATACTAGGTGGTGGCATGCGCATTGTTATTAAAAATTAATTATTTGCGCACACAAACCCGCCGAATGGCTTACATTCGAAAAAACCAAGTCTACCTGAACATTTTACATGTGTGATTACCGTAGTTAGAGAAACACGTCCATAATTATTTAAAACACAGTGACCACAAGATAAAGTTTATTGGCGATAAGGAGAGGATCCCCATTGGGATGTAACATTACTCTTGGTAAAATTGTCCTACCTACTTATTAATCTTACCCTATTTGTCTCCGAAATGTCTAATCAACCCATCGTTGTTTATTTTAACTAACCTGCCTTTAAAAGCTTATCAGAAAGACTACATAATTTTTATTTATCTATACTACTACATCTAAAATAAAGTAGCGGAAACCCTATATTCTGAGTGACATAAATAACTGGCATAGCCAATACACGATAACCGACTATGCGATGAGGTCCATAATCCACCAATTTGAGTTCTTTCAAATAAACAATCCCCTAGAAATGAGATGTTGAGCTATTTAATGGATTCTTTAACGCTGATTTACTTATTCTTCTTAGAAACACTCAGTATAACTTGGATAAGATTTTGAGACCAAGACAAAACACAGTAGTGAAATGAAATGACGGGAAGAAAAACTAACTTCAAACGAGTAAAACTTTATGATTGGTTTTAAAGATAATCTACCATGAACTAACAAAATAAGCATAGTAAATACAATAAAAAAACCTTACTCACACTTTTTAGAGTGGTTGTGTTTTATTTTAACAGTCACTTTCTGTTGGTTAAGGACATCTTGGGATGCTTCAAAATGATCATGTTGATCTTTATCAGGAAACGTTTGCATAACATTACCATCCACTCTATCACTACATACGTTGTTCGCTCCTGAAATAGAATGAGCCGAATTAACTTGATAAAAAGCTCCGTCTGAATTATTGAGAGGCAAGGTAGCACCGAAGGCTGTCGGGGTCAGTGGTACCTTTAAAATATTCAAAATAAGTGGTAAAAAGATTTTATAAGTGCACATATAACAACTTAGGCTTGTATTGTATGCAGGAAACTAATTTTTCAAAAATAGCTGTATAATTTTAGTTACCCCTCACTTACAGATATATCCATCATAATACCAATGCAACCTTAAACTTCCGTAGATATGATCCATAATGACAACAAAAGTTAATTAATACTACTTTTATGTTTGGGGTTGAAACAGAGATATCCTACACACTGCTATCAAGAGTACGGAGATGGCGCTCAGCAATCCAAAAAGTACGTAAATATTTCATACCTGAGTACGACTAGTAAGCTTTCCTACTGCTTATTAGGAATTTTCAACTGAAAGGAAACAGAAATAGAATGTTATTGCCAACTAAACCAGTGACGGCGAGTAATTTTCGGAATGAAATCAGGCTCAACCTCAGAAAATCCGAAAACAATACCTCGGTAATTGCTTTGCACTATTGTTCGTTAGTGCGTCGGTGGCACAGCGGTAGAATGCCCGCAGACAACGCAGATGGTTCGGGGTTCGATCCTCGGCTGACGCACTCCTTTACCTCGCTAAGCCAGTAATAGAACTAGTAAAGAGGGAAGGTTGGGAATGAAGCTAGCAACCCCATCCTGTAAAAATAATCACCCCTGCTACAGAAACTTCAAATCTCTAGCTTAAATCCCTATTTTTCAGTGGGAACGTAAAAGAATAAAAAAATGTTCGTTACTTTAAAAGCAAACATTGTCACTTGTGACCAATAACTTATCTTTCACTGATTTTAAAAATCAAATGGTCAGAAGTAGCATGTACGCTCACAATGGCAAACTGTAAGTCTCTATAACGCAATCTCTTAAAGTTCTAAACGGTCCCCGCATAAATACACATTGTCTAATTCCTTTATCACAAAACGACGAACATAATGTGATAAAAACCAGGGGCTGAGACAAGCGAATGGTAAATCCAAGTTACTCCTTAAGTGTACTGAATGTAAAGAATTTGTCTTGGAATGAAAACTGTTGGACAATCTTTGATTTAAATGTAGCTTAGGACAAATCAACACCACATAGCTTAAAAAAGTTCCCTCATAAAGTCTTCCAGTGGGAAGGCAGTTAACTATACCGCATAGAAATAACGAAATCCCTAGTTTACATGACATTCCTACCAAGGTAATAAACAACGTCGAAAAGATTTTGAAACGGATGAACCCCATATATGTACAAAAAATCAAAAACTATTCAACAGACTTACATCTCTTGTTCCATCCATTTCATGACCTGAACCTTCGTGTGAATGACCACCGAGAACGATAAGTCCCAGAATATTTATCAAAAGCCCACCACAGCCGACGTAGACCATAATTTGAGCACTTTCAATAGCCTGCGTCTCAATAAACCGCTCGATAGCTCTCAGAAGTATGGTCATACACAAAGTTATCAGAACAACTGTATTGATCAAACTACCCATTACTTCAGCTCTTTGCCAACCAAAAGTATTTCTAGATGACCGAGGCCACTTGGCTATCCGCGAAGCCACAATACCAACCACCAAGGCAAGACAGTCCGAGAGCATATGAAATGAATCTGCGACTAGAGCAATAGAGTGTATCGAGATCCCAACAATCAGTTCGACCAAAAAATAAAGCACAACGAGAACTAACATGAAGGTTAAACGGGCTGTATTTCCACATCGTAAGCCCATGACTTTTCAACAATCGTTGTATAGCTCGATTAAAAGTAAAAAAGAAGGAAGATAATTAGATAAAGTGCATGAAAACTGTTATCCCCAATATGTACTATGACTGCTTTAATGTCGTATGCTGAAAACTACTGTTCAAAGTATGCGCTGTTACGGAGTTAATACTCTCAATCAAACAAATAAAACAAAATGCGTCGGTGAACTCAAAGTCCTAATCCATCATAGAAGCCCGTAAAACCATTCTATTTTTACCTATTCTTTCTAAATGCGGGTATAGTTTGTACTTCAAACTAATATTGGAGGTTCTGTGTTGCAAAACTTAGATCCCTATGTTATTTTCAGGGAATACTACATACAAAGTTCTTGCCGCTCTTGGCTTCGAGACTGAAAAGAGATACATTCACAAAATATAAATTTGGTCAACTGCCTCTGATAACTGTGTGACACCTAAAAGGGGACAATTTGTTAGCTATTTGTGTGGGATTGTATGGCTAATGCTTAGGAAATTACCTTACATTGCTTGCAGATATTTACAGTCCGAGCGATTAAGTAAAGAAGCAACTGACACAGACGAATCAGAGAATTATTTTCCGGTTAACAAACAGAGTATATATAATAATGATGTTTACACAGGGCAGGGTTAATCACTAAAGTTACCAACTGATTTCTGTCTGATATTATATATATATATATATATATATATATATATATATATATATATATATAAACACTGCTTACCTTGTGGTTTCGGTCTATGTGGTCTTTCTTTATTACTTTGGCATATATATAGATTTCTAACAATGCCATAAGAACGCACGTAGCAAAACTGGATTGTGATCCAGTGGTAGCATTGTGGTAAGTGATACTTATATTTAGATATAAGTAGTATATAAGGTAAAGAATTCAGAAAAGTAACATGTTTTGGGCACTGAAAAAGCGATTGAAGAATAGAACTCCGAAAAGAATTTTACAACACTGTGTAGAATCCAACAAGCTATCGATTGTGATGATATTCGATCAACTTGCAAATGATGTACAAATTAAAACTTTAAGATAAAGTATCCTACATTTAAGTACCTTTAATGAGTTTGTCCTGATAAACATAGCCTTTTAGCCTTATCGGTCTTTCCTTCTTTACAACATAACTTACAACTATGCTATTATTACATCCTCAAAGAAATTACAATCATCATATGGAGAGTGTGGTATCAATACGCTGCATTATTAAGTTTGTCATTGTAGGCTTGACACAACAGAAATTCACTATTATCAATGATTAACAGCTGTGCAACCTTGCCTAAGTGTCTAATTGAAGTTAATTCGCCTATCACATTGTCTGCACTGTCAGATTTTCAGCACAGTCATTGTTGCATTGACTCGTTGTGCTGCAATCGACAGCCTGGCTGGGCATTTTGTAGCAGATATATGTTCCGTACAATAGGAGTTAATCTGAATATTCAAGTGAAAATTTACTCCTTCAAAAAAGATAGGTTCAACATTTTCTTCACGAATGAATGTCCTGGTCCTCCCACTTCCACTTCACCAAATGGATGAAGTAAAAATTGACATGCCACTTAACTGTACAGAAGAAAAAGACAACTGCTTTTCATTCCTAGATTTGTCATCTGGAGCAAACCTACTTGAACAGATGTGCACCTTATATATTCCAGCTCCTGCCCTCTTCAGAGCCTTAATTAGTTAGCACGTTAGTGTAATCAGAAGAGTGCACACCGAAATTATAGCTGGAAGTTAGGAAAGGGTACAGATTTAAAGCTGTAGTCAAAAACCATTACCGGGGGAAGTTCATGAGGCAATATAATGCGGTTAGAGCACAAAAACCACTATATCAAGCCACATCACATATTGTTCTACTTAGCATTTATCCAACTAAATAGCAAGAAAAAGGAGATACACTCAACATGGTCACAGATATTGATGGGTATATTGTGACATCCTCTTGAAGATGTTCTTGGCCCGCAATGATGCTTCAAAGAATATTTGGATGGCCGGGTAGAAACATCTCTTATTTCAGAAATTTTTAAAAAAATTAGGTGTCAGCCACTTCTCGTAAACCGTTAATGCCCAGCTCTTGCTACGCTCGGGCTCACGCTGTCCCGCGAAGTTTCTCAGAAACGCTTAGTAATAACGGACGAAAAAACCAAAACACCAATTGTTGACTCGAGGATTCTTTATTGTTACACCAACATATAGATCACGTATGACTAAGGTCTGTGAACAAATATTACAATAATAAATCATAATATTACTTCTGACGGTGTTTTACTCTTCTTTTTGAACAGCGACCGATGAGACGATGACTGTCGTATTGATGCCTCCGCGAAAATTGGGGAAGTTGATTTTGAGCAAACAACCATGAATTGATCGTTCAATCTTCAACTACATTGACACTCCCCGGCAAAAAGGGATCCAACCCTTTTTTCCTTCACGACCAATGCACGTTGACTTGGATGCCATTGCGAGAACCTGGGTCTTACGGACAGAGCTGAAATGGAAAACAAACAGAAAAGCCAACACACCACAGGCATACCCACAGCACAATCTCACACATCAATGACGACCTGCGCCTTCCAGTTAAAGGCATCCTCTTGCAACACAATCGCCACTTGCTAGAATGACTCTTGCAGAATGCAACGTGACCATGGCAGCACCTCACGATACTCTACGCTCATCCTCTTATCTACTCACTACCAATTACCACTGAAATCGCTTGTCACTCATTCTGCCTCAATTCTAGTAACGGTGACGTATGCGAGCCTCAGTCGTTTACACTCTTTCTCCCCGGCGTGTGAGACCACAGATAATAATTATCTCCGTGTGCATTTCATTCTCAGGAATAGCCTCCCCGGCGTATACGACCCATCTGCTGTCTCTAACATCAATCAATTCATTCACGGATGTAGAAGACTCGAAACAACTTCAAAAATAATCACGACGAAAATTTTAACAAAATTATGCAATAAAAACAAGGTACGAAAACAACGAGTAAACACAATGAAACCATAAAACACCAATTGATATGACACACCACACATATATACAAACAGTACACACAAACTCGCGGATCATGTCTTGGTGGAATTCCTTTGAAGAATCGCAGGACTTACACCAGTACGCCTACAACCCTTCTCAGGTTGACGATTGTAAGTTGTGGAACGTCCGGATACAAACAAGATTAACCAACAATTACAATAATTGGAACTCACACAATTATTTAACACAAACATAAGTACAATCAGCACATCAAAGTGGTGGATTCTGCATTGACGAACTACCCTTGAAGAACTGTAGGACTTACAGCAGTATGCCTACATTCCTTCTCAGGTTGATGATACAAGTGAAAGTCGTCCGGACACAATCAGAATTACTAACAGCTAGATGACAGATGATATCAATTCAGTATATACAATATGAACATATGTACAAAATCACACACCAAGCACATTGGACTGCTCATTGATGCGCTACCCTTTGAAGAATTGTAGGACTTACAGCAGTACGCCTACAACCCTTCTCAGGTTGACGCCCTAGGTTGGAAAATCATCGCAGAGTTCATTTGCTGATTTCCCTCTATCGACTATATCCCCAAATCTGAACGGTAACACGCTCATGTCATTGTATCGCAGAACATGGATGACGAACAAACACACGAAGTATCTGGTCAACCAAGCGTAGGCACAGAGTAGTTTACACCAAAGATAATAGCATTCAAATAGTAACTTGAAACTAGAAATGCCTTTATTCGTGCAACTCAATTTAACAATTACTCTCTCGTTTACACTTGGCTTATCCTCACTGAACTGACCATCGATATTCGTCCTTTCAAACGAACTGATACTAGCATAGTCATTGCACAAGATACTTGAGTTGATGGGCGTCTGTTTCATTGTGGATGACAGCACCAACGACGACTGATTGATATCAGTTGATGAAGTTAGCAGTGGATCAAAAGCTGTTGTTGCTCGCTTTTCAGAAATTTGTCTACCTGCAAGACCACCACCACTGCTGTCTTTTACTATCAGCTCAGGTTTAACACTAGCATCTGATGATAGGTGGGCTACATGCTGATCACTTACACTGACGGTCTCACAAGTATGCATGCCTTCTGCAACTGCACCTGCATTTATTTCTACTTCACGTTCAAGTCGTACAGAACCTTTGTTCAACTTAGCAGTAGTAGGCATTCCCCTCATATCATCATGATCAACCAAAGACAAATGTGCATCATCATGATCATTATCACAAATATTCACTTTACCGTCAACTTCATCATTTTCAAACTCTTTAATAACAGAAGTAGACAATTTTGGTTCCTTCTCACAAATCCTAAAAGGCTTTATAACTTCACTCTGACTAGTAATACCTTGTAAACTTGTAGTGTCAGAACTGCACTCTGAAGCAGCAACTCTATTCTGTGACACTCTATTCAACAATGGATTACCAGTTGCAACTACAGACTTCTTGACCGCACCGTTATCGTCACACAATTCGGAGTCAGGCCTGGAGTTTACATTTAGCTTATCACTGAACTTGCTCACTGATTCACAGCTCACCTTTGTATGCACCTCTTGCAAACGTGTAAAACACAACCGTGTTTGTCTTGCATCTTGTAACTTATCTGTTGAGGATGTACTACGAAACCTGTTACACTCACTAGGTCTATATGCATTACTAGACATCATGGAGCCTTCTCGATATCCACCTCTCTGAGGCCCTTTCGTCATCAATGATTGCGTTTTACCCTCAGACTGCTCTATTCTAGGGGTGAGATTCAATATACTGGCTAACTTGCTCATAGATTGATTGACACTATCTTTTACTAGTTTCAGGATATCATCAAATTTTGGCTCGATACCCTCATCCTCCATACGGGAGCTTATCTTCACCCACTTCCTTTGCAGTCGAGTAGGTAGACGTCTTGCTATTACTTCTAGTATAAAACTCGAGTTGAGGTCACTCATGCAATTCATCGAAATCAAGGTATT